CATTGTTTGTATAACCACAAAACATTCGGGCATTCCTTAAATGGCTTAAAATAATCTAAAGAATTGAAAATATGGCCCTTGGCCCTTAAGGCTTAAGGATACTTAAAAAATTGAAGAATCAGAATTTAAATAAATTCATTATTAAAGTAAACCAGGGAGATAAGCATGCTTGGTTAAATACTTGTATACTATGTGCAATGTACATAGGCGTGCACACAGGGGATGCCAGTGGTGCACAGACACCACTAAATCTTTCACTGAAGGCCCTAATCATTAAATAAAGACCTCAATGGATTGATTAAATTTTTGTATTTTTTCATTTGTGGTATTCTGTATGTAAATAATTTTATTACCTAAAGTACCTATTTAGTTTCTGAAGCTTTACACAAAATGAGTCCTACAATTATCAAAAGTACAGAGCTATTGATAAATGAGCATTAATAAAAGTTGCCAATTATCTAAAACAACAAAAGCTTTGTTTTTCTAGGTATCAAAAAAGAATAGATAGCGTTCACTTATTTTTATTCAGATATACTTTTTGTACAATTTTCACTGTAATAATAATTGTACCTAATAACTTTCATAATTGTTATGGGCTCTAATTTTTATTATGAACCCCCCAGATCCAAGATTACTCACGCCTATGACTATGTGCAATATGCCATTATATATATTTAAATGAGGGTTAATATATATATTATGTATATGATTTAGTGTACGTTATTTATGATTTTACCTAATGGTAATATTGTAGTTAGAAATCTAAATAAAAATATATTTTATAGTAATTGCTTGACTGTTATAATTAATATGACGTGTTATTAAAATATTCTAAAAAATAAAACCTTCTATAACGACATAGATAAAACGCGTTTACGCAGTCTGAGTAGAGCTGTTAAATTTTGATTTTAGAGTAGAAATACGCATTATTAAATTGAATCGTGACAATATTTTTGAGGGCAAGTCATTGCATTTTTTCCATTAAAGGTACCTAATATAACGTCCATTAAATCGTTTAGGACAGGGTTTCCCAACCGGTGTGCCGCAAAATTTTCCAAATTTCTCACTAAGATTAGGTTTTTTATAAAAATTGTAATGTATCTTGTTTTTCCATTTCAATAAATTAAATTTTAGGATAATTATAATAATATTTTTTTTTCCATCCTACCATTTTAAATTGTTTGTTAATAATATTTTACTGATATACCATATACAACTACTTTGGTATTAATAATTAATATGATGAAAGTCTAGTATAAAAAAGGTGCTCTGCTGTACAGTAGGTTACAAGTGGGTCACTGTATAATGGATGGTATTACATTTGAATTCAATGATAAAATATCATTGTATAAGAAAAACGATTCTGAGCGGAGACGATATGTCAGTCTAGGTATAAGACAATATATTATATACTTATCTATGGTATTGGTATACCTAAAATAAATTCCAAATCAATCATATCTCAATATCCATTAGGTACATATAACGCGTTATACATCAACAAAACAAACCCTGATACTATCATAGATATATAATAGTACACTTTAGAAGTTTCTAGTACCCACGAATAATATTATACAATCACAACAAAATAACTAAAATAGTTATTCTAGGTTTTTTATTATGTAATTTTACCCATATTTGAACTTAAAATGACTAAAAATAAATTTTGGTTATGTATTTTTTAGATTTTTTGGTAACAGAATTAATTATTTATGAGGAATCTTGTTTTAAATTTCAATCCTTAGCTATAAAAGTTGAACATTTTATAAATTATAAACTACAAAATAATTGTATTAAATTTTTACACTTTTTGGCCCGACCGATAAAACTCTATTAATATTTATAGAAAAAAAACTAAAATAATTGAAAACTGAAAATGTCCGTAAACAACTCAAAAAGAGACAAAATATTTTCAAAATTATATGGTGTATAGGAAATGCTAATATAAACATTCAGTGAAATTTTCATGTATCTACAGTTATTCGTTTTTGAATTACAACAAAATAAGGAAATCGCTACATGAGAAAACGAGTGTATAAATATGTTGTAAAAATTTGAATTTCAAACGCTCATAAAAATTTAATTTGAACTTCTTATAGATATTTTTTTTTTTTTTGATAAAGGTAGATAATCTTATAAGTAATCTTGTATTTAATTTTAAAATCTTAGATTTCAAAAGAAAAATTTTACGAATTCTTAACTCAAAATAATTTGCTAATTTTCGGGATTTTTCCATATTTTGTCAATTTTTGAACTTTAAATGCTTATAAAAAAAACTGTGACTCAGGGGCGTAGCGTGCATGTAAGCACTGTAAGCACTGCTTACACTTTAAATGAAAGAAAAAATAAATTTGATTAATCACGACTAATAGGTACCTACATAATAAATGATTTTTAAAATTTTAATTTTATTTATAAAATATTTAAGTTATAGCTGGTAGTGGTTTTTGTTATTGTTTATTTGTGTCGTACGCTGTCTACTGATTAGTAATCAGTGATTACCAACTATTTTAAGAAAATCATCGATTGTAGGTCTATTTTTAATCCATTCTGTATTATGTTAACTGCATAATCATAATACGATATACAGTGTAACACATTCTGAAATTGTTTACGCGCAACTGTTGTTTTCGAATAGTCTATAATGCCATAGTGGGGGTCACGTATTTAAGTATTTAATTTAGCGTTTGTAAGCTTACTCGAGAAACAAGGAGCGACCAGTACGTACTACGTGGCCCGACGCGTTGTAGACTGTAGTCGTTTTTACGTACACTGTCACTGTCATTCGCCTAATAGACTTTTGAAGTATTTATACTTCAATTTCTTTATTTTCTCGAATTTGATTTGTACAACTAGTATATTTTTAAAAATATTAAAAGGATAACATTCTTTTATACATAATTTATAATTAGGAATTTAGGTATAGTACCTATATTCCAATTTCCAATCACTTTTGAAAAAAAATTTCACTGCTTACATCTTTTTAATACCCACGCCACGCCACTGCTGTGACTAAGGATTTTTAATATTTTTCATCTGCCTTTGAAAAAATATACTAGGAGCCTTCTATTAAATTTTCAAGCTTTTTTAACCAACAAATAACATTTTATTAATATTTTTAGAAAAAAAACTAATAAAATGGGAAACTGAAAATGTCCCTAAACAGTTCAAAACAAATCAAAATATTTTGAAAATGTTATCATGTATAGAAAATAAAAATGTTAATAACTAGTGAAAGTTTCATGTATATACGGTCATTTGTTTTAAAGTTTTTAAAATTTTGTGAAAAATCGATTTTGCGTAAAAATTCCCGTTTTTCCTTAATTTTTCTTTTGTTTTTCATGGCACTTTTGAAAACTACCTGGACATTTTTATTTTTGACCCCCCAATGTACCAACTAGATTCACTTTTCTATCAGAAAAGATACTGTTGAAGAAAATCCAAACACGTTTACTGTCCTAAAAGGTGATGACAGACGCAAAAAAATAAAAAATAAAAAAAAAACACTTAATTGAAAAATCAATACATTCATCTCTTTTCATTTCACTCAGAATCTAAAAATTATGTATACATATATCTATAAGTCGTGACAAGTGTCCCGCGGCTAAATAAGGGTTGGGATTAGTGTGCCGCGAGGGAAAAAGGTTGGGAAACGCTGGTTTAGAAATAGAAATCATTTCAACATTTTTAAAATACCTTTAACTTTTCAAAATTTAAATTTTTTAAAAAAATCGCAACTACTTTCACTATTTTGTAAATATTAATATAAATAATAATTTATTAATATAATTTAATAAATGTTAATATTACCATATTTACCTCATATTTATACATAATAATATAATTAATATTATATTATGTAGATATTTCTTAATCTCGAATCTCCTAAATGCTAAAATAATGATTTTTTTTTTTTTATTGGAATTTGTCAAATTGTTTTAAATTGGTTTTTCTATAATAGGTACCTAAGTATCTTTTTTATAAACACAACCTATAAAATTATTATTTACAATTATTGCATATGCTGTGGGTTTTGGGTTGATATTGGGTGGGTGAATATGTTTTATTGTTTTCCGTAGAAGGCACTTCTGACTTTGGCATAATCTATAATATCTTGACTTCAAATAATTATATAGAGAAAAAAAATTGTAGTGGTGCTCCATTAAGAGGACGTGGCACCTGTATGTGTTGTTTCCGTCTTACAAGTGCATAACAGCAAATTTTGCGCTCAGTTAGTTTAAAAATTAGAGTGAATTGACCTATTATAAAATTTAAAGGTAAGATTAATATCTAGGCAATCTCATAGGATTTTAATTATATTTTAATCTTAAAGCTAGTTATGAGTATTTTAAAATTTTAAATTGTTTGTACATCCTAAAGTACTCATAACTCGCTTTAAAATTAAAATATAATAAAAAGTCCATGAGACTGCCTAGGTAATAATCTTACCTTTACATTTTATAAGAGGTCAATTCAATCTAATTTTTAAACTAACGAAGCTAAACGTAATCTGCTGAGTGTAAAAATTGCTATGTACACACTTGTGAGACGGAGACAACACATGCGGTTACCACATCAATTATAGACCTATGTAATCTATTTACTGGGTATTGATTATTATTTTTTACACACTTAGACATTATGTTATATTATAATATTTTATTAAAACTATATTATATTATGACATTAGTTGTTGTTGGGTCTATTATGTACGTATCTACTACTTGAGTCGAAAGATATTTATAAAATTAATAAGTATTGTAAGTTATTACTATATATAGGTAGGCACTATAGGCATATCAGTAGGCATATATAGCCATATAGGTATATAATGTGCTGCTATTTTTTTAATTATTTATACGAATATTTATCTAGTTTATGTATACATTTTAATATATATTACCTATATTATAATTTATTTTATTCTTGCTATTATTTGTTATTTGATACTGAAACCTACTTAACCTGTGATACTCTATATAGTGAAAAATATAGCAATGGAAAAATTTACAGTAATATTACTTTCTTTTGTGCTGCAGGCTACATGTATATCTGGTAAGGTTTTTTTATATACCTATTTCATGAATTATACATTTTAATATAGTAAAATTAACCCTTACCTATACATTTATTTATCTAACATTGTTACGGGAAATTACACAATTATGGAATGAATTAACAGTAAATATAGGTACAATACAACATATTATTACTATAAATTAGAATCAAATAAAATAACAATAAATCTCGAATAATGGCTAGATGAATACATAAAATATGATGGTTAGTTAGAGCGAAAAATATGGGTCTTTGTTGGCTAGCCTTAACAATCGGATAAAGGGATGGTTAGGCAAGTAATTTGAGGAAAATAAATAGTACGAAAAGGAGCAGTGTTTCTAGTTGTACTTGTATAGGAAGCTAATGTCAGCAAGTAGAGAAAAGGAGTTAATAGAATTTGAAAATAGTTTTGAGAGAAATTTACGATAAACCCATCACTTGACTTATTGGTGAATGATGAAAAATCATTCTCTGGACACGCTCAATCATAAGAGTTACCAATAAAGTTATTCCAAAGTAGATACAGAGCCATACTTCAGAGGGTATACCCATAGGTCAGACGACTAGTCGAGGGGGCAGTAAAGGGTTTTAAGAGAATTGTATTATGTCATATAACGTACCTACAAAATTAAGATATAGTCATATAGGTAGCCGGTAGGTACTAACTACTAAGGTACCTACCTTACCTAATGTAAGTATAGCCTAACTAGTATTATAATTTGACATGACTTGTTTACATTGTAGGCACCTACGAAGCACCTACCCATATGTGCTATATACTTTAGAGTAGAGTCGCAGGGGTCAACAAATAGTTTCTAAGTGGTTCGGAATTTCGAATGATCTGAAAAAAATGTAGGGGTCCAGAAAAGATGTTTTTATTTAACAAGTTATTCTGGGTACACAGTCTCGGCGAAAAGAAGAAAACTCAGTATTAAAGTAAAATATTTTTGGCGGATCATTTGTTTCACACCGTGTCCCGCCTATATCCGACCACTGATTTATAGGTTATGTGTACATACCTAATTTTCTTTTTTTTTTTATAACAGTTATAACAACTTGGCAGCAATGGCCATTAGTTACCTACAGTTACTTGAAAAAAATGAGGTTCTCATTCCAAAAAAGGAGTTTATATTTCCAATTGCCATAACACACCCCTTAAATTGTATATAAATATAAGCCAATATTATTATTTATTAGTAATAAATTAATAACCTACCAATAAAAGTCGTGAGTTTGTGACAAACTGAACGGGTTTGCTACTAAATTTTAGTATTTAAAATACCTACGTAAAACATGGTAAGTAGGTAAACTATAAAATAGGTTTATACATATTATAAATATTGACTCATAATATATGAAACACTTATTTGCCATCTTACGAGTGCATATTTAAATAAATTCAAGGTTCAGATAAGATGGATTACATAACCAAAATCAAAAAAATTGTATTTAAGTTACTTACCTATATTGTTCAGGTTAATATATAATCACCAAGTATTTTCAATACGAATTGAATATAAAATATTAATACGTATCTAAGTATATAACCTAACCTAGCCAGTAGCCAACAAGTACCCAATTGTTTTATAACCGCACATGGTCATAAGCACAATTTGGGGGAGGGGGAACGCTAGTGCCTACACTTATTGATACGTATAGGTACTGAGGAATAATATAATGAGTAATGAGTAATGACTAATGAGTAGTTTTTGGGTTATTTAACCTTGTGTAATGTGTAGGTACTAAGGATAACAGGTGCATGATAAAAGGTAAAAAATTCCTACTGAATATTTTACAGTAAAAAAGGGGGGTTCTCATTTAAAAAACAAAAATTAACCTATCGCACACAGGAAATAGGACACTCCCTAAGTAATGCATAAAATCAGAAGAATTTGAAAATATGATCATAAAGTATATTTAAAAAATTCAAAAATCAAAATTTGAATACATTTATTATCAAATGAAAAAATGGGGGTGAAAAAGCTTTGTGAATTACACCGTATAGTGTACCTATAGGCTATAGTAAACAATCATTTTCAATCACTTATTTTGTCGTAGGTACAAACTACAAATAACTCCATTTGTAGGTACCTTTAACGTAGTAGAAGAAAATTAATATAAATTTGTTATTACTGTTATTCAGTGGTCGATTTTCAAAATTTTTCTGGGGGGGGTTCTAAAAAATATTATGTATTTCAAATGCATAATTTTTATTTTTATAAAAACAAGTGTTTCCTGAATTTTAATCTTCATATATTATATTGTGTTTATGTATTGTATGTAGTGGACCTAAATATTATAATTTATAAAATAAAATCGAATCTTCTTTTGGTTTTGACAAGTTCGGCCAAGACTTTTGAACATTGCTCATCCCTATGGTGAATCGACATTCGACATCATTGCCAAGCCTTTTACTCTAGCCTGAATTTTTCAAACATATGTTTATTGATATATTTTGAATAGAATTTTTTTTTTTAATTTGACATGCATAATTATTTATTCTTACCTTGTCATAGAATTTCGTAGATATGTTTTGATTCGCTTCAAATTTGAAACGGAGGATTTTTTTTGTGTCTGTGTACACGATAAGTAGTCGAAATAAAGCTACGATTTTTAACTTCAGTATCTTGTTCAATTGGAAAGTGAATATAGTTGGTGCATCGGGGAGATCAAAATTTAAAATTCAGTTTTTTTTTATAAGCATTTAAAGTTCAGTCGGGCTCAGACAGTCAAAGCGATAACTAGTGCACCGCCGTAGTTTCGTAATGCGTCGCGTATCGTACCTTATCTATCCATTTAATTATCGCAACGAGGCATTAAAAACGTGTAATGGCCACGGTTTCACCAATTGTTATTCTAAACAAAAATAAAGTTCGCAAAAAGAAAACTATGGAAAATCCTACAAAGAGAGCTCTCTCGTCGACCTCCTCAAACTCCCCGACCTACGTGGATAAGAAAAACAAAGTTTTTGTAACACCAAATCGTTTCGAAGTTCTAGAAATGGAGGAACAAGACAATGTTTTCGTGCAAACAGAATCTCAGCTCGCCTCACAAAATATCAAGACCTCGCCAGAACCGAGTAAGACAAAACTCCCAAATATCGTACTAACAAACGTTACCGATTTTATAACCCTCAAAAATGACTTAACTAGCATAGTGGGACCAATGGGTTTCACATGCAAAGCTAATAGATCTAATATTATCGTTCGGTCAAACACACGCGAAAACTGGATGGCCATTAAATCATATCTGGTTGAAGCCGATTACGATTACCATTCTTATCTCCCCCGCTCCTCACAACCTTTCCGAGTCGTGCTACGCCACCTTCACCACTCCACGCCTACCGCGGATATTATAAACTACCTTAGTGACCTAGGGCACAAAGTCAACAGTATCTCAAAAATAATACACAACACGAACAAGTTACCACTTCCTCTATTTAATATAGGCCTGGCCCGCAACAACAATAATCGAGAAATATTCAAAATAACAAAAATATTAAACTCAATAGTGAAATTTGAATATCCAAAAAGGCGGTCTGATCCCCCTCAATGTCATAATTGCCAAAAATATGGACACACACGTAATTATTGCCATCACTATCCACGCTGCGTAAAATGCGGATCAGAACACTCAACTAACGAATGCACAAAACAACGGGAGGAACCCGCAAAATGTGCAAATTGTGGTGGAAACCACACCGCAAACTACAAAGGATGCCAATCCCTTAAAAAATTACTAAACCGCACCAAACCTAAAGCTAAAAAAATAAATAAAGAACAGCAACCTATTCCAACACTTGCTATACCGCCTATACCACCTCCATCTCGAAGAAGTGGAAATGAAGCCTCCAGTTCAAACTCAAAAGGAAAACCGTCATACGCCGAAATCGCAGCTAACAGACCACCACCCGATCAATCTCTACACATCATCACCAAATTCCTCGACGAACTAAAATCTATACTTAACCCCCTTCTTACTGTATTAACATCCCTAATAAACAAAATAACACTCCCTATAACCCCTACTCCATAACACACACACACACACACCACATATTCCGTACATCAATAACACAAACACACAGTATATCAATATTATTATATACAAACTTTAAATTAAATTGCTATTGTTATTGTTATTTATTTATAACTAACTTGTTAGAGGGTATCCACACTGGTGGGCCTCCCTCCTCATGCCATTCATGTTGTTGTATTCTTTTATTACCAAATTTACTTATTGTATACATAAAATTACAGATTGTAAATATCCTATTTTATCTAATAAAAAAAAAAAAAAAAAAAAAAAAAAAAGCATTTAAAGTTCAAAAATTGACAAAATATGGAAAAATCACAAAAATTAGCAAATTATTTTGAGTTTTAAGAATTCGTAAAATTTTTCTTTTGAAATATAAGATTTAAAAATTGAATACAAGATTCCTTATAAGACTATCTACCTTTATCAAAAAAAAAATGTCTGTAATAAATTCAAATTACATTTTTATGAGCGTTTGAAATTAAAATTTTTACAACATTGGATATTCATTCGATTTCTCATGTATCGATTTCCTTATTTTGTTGTAATTCAAAGACGAATAACTGTAGATACATGAAAATTTCACTGAATGTTTATATTAGCATTTCCTATACACCATACAATTATGAAAATATTTTGACTCTTTTTGAGCTGTTTACGGACATTTACAGTTTTCAATTTTTTCAGTTTTTTTTTCTATAAATATCAATAAAGTTTTATCTGTTGGGCCAAAATGTGTAAAAATTTAATACAAGGCTCCTGATATATTGTTACAATATCAGTTGAAACAATATTAAAAATACATATTAACAATTTTTTTTTATAAGCATTCAAAGATCAAATTTAGACAAAGTGTACAAGATTTAATAATTATTTTGTAGTTAAAAATTTATAAAATTTTCAACTTTGATAGCTAAGGATTGAAAATGTAATTCAAGATTCCACATAAGTGGTTAATTCTGTTACCAAAAAATCTAAAAAATACATCAGCACAGTTTATTTTTATAGTAATTTTAAGTTCAAATATGGATAAAATTACATTATAAAAAACCTAGAATAACTATTTTACGTATAGTAATTTTGTTATGATTGTATAATATTATTCGTGGGTACTTGAAACATCTAAAGTGTACTATTATATATCTATGATAGTATCAGGGTTTGTTGTTGATGTATAACGCGTTATAAGTACCTAATGGATATTATGATATCATGAATTTGGAATTTATTATAGGTCAATTTTTTTAATACCATAGATAATTATATAATATATTATATATTGTCTAAATACATTTGTATAAAATACAGCAACGGCTCCAGTAACATCGTCGAAGTTGGGTAATACGAAATACAAAAAGCAAAGTTACTAATTTACTATTAACCAATTTATATAATAGAAGAAAATAATATTTTTTCCAATGAAAAAGTGTAAAACTTTCATACGAATAAAAGAGAAGCACTTACACTTTACAGTGTAAAGTTTACACCGATACCTACCAAACTTCGTGTGCGCAAAGAAATGCAATAGGTACCTAATTTACTATTTAGAGAGTGTTTATCTGCTCCCAATTTTGATCAATGGGCGATATCATTATTATTATTATTATTGTTATTGTATTATTACTTATTCGTTTTTGTGTTTCGTTTCATAAATCAAAAATTTCAACAAAAAAATATTCTTATTCGGAAAATGAAATATAAATATAGATAGATATAGAAGTATAGTAATTAATAAAGAAAAACAACTTGTTCTTTATGATTACCTGTAATAATTTAAAGGAGCCACTGATTGTTCTCCACCATGGATGGCTGAAAGTAATCCGTTTTTCGCAAAGATTTTATCAAAATCAGTCTACAGATGTCCTTCGATTTTTGGAGACTCAAATAAGGTATACTGTTGTTACAATACGGATGGAGACGTTGAATGTTGCAATTTTCAAGAATATTTCGTTTTTAGGTAAAATATTTTGATTATTTGTAACAAAACATTCTCTATGGGAAAGATGTCAGTAAAATAAAATAATTTGTATATGTTTCAGATTATTTTGTCTTTTTCCAATTATTTTAATAGTTTTAATCATTCTATCATTCATCTGCTGTATGTGTTGTTTTCTGTGCCCATTTTGCATGGCTTATAAGCTCAGACAAACTAGAAGTAAGCATGAAAATATGATATATTAATAACCCTAATACTAGGAGTAGCGGTCGCTATACCTTGAAAATAAGGTGTGGGTGGGTATAATAACATAAAATAATCAACTTGATATATGTTCATAATTAATCACAGATTATATTGGTTAATACCTTAATATTTATTAGTATTATCAATTAAAATACTATAAAATGTATAAAATAATATAATTTTGAGATTGTGAGGGGGTGGGTGGGTGGTTGGGTAAATTTTTTTCTTATTACATCTAAAAAATATATCTTGGGCGCCACTGATACTTCTTATAATTTGTATCGTATTCGTATATAAGAAAGTTTACTTTTTAACGACGGTTGGAACGAAGCTCATACCTTTCTTTAATGTTGGAAATATATTGAACATTTAATTATTATGCATTGAGATTGAGAAGATGTCTAGGTGGATACCAATATTCGTAGGTATAATTTTCAATATCCTAAATACCAATCGGCAGTGGGCAGTGGCGTGGTAAACGGGGTTTTATGACATCTAGGTGACTAGGTCTAGGTGAAATTTTCTTTTTTTGGTGGGGTAGGGTGGTTGGATACATTATGGTAAGTAACCAATAACATAAAACAAAAATTAAAATATTTACAGTCACATAATAATTATAATATGTACTTACTATTTATTATATTAAGGGGATAAATAGTGGATAGGTACCTACTGAAATATAAACTGGGCATCATGGTTTATAAATGTTCATCACACCACTAGGCTATTATGGCTACCTATTTAAATTGTTACATTTTTATTTATTGGGAGTAATATAAAAGTAATTTTTCAAACTCAACGACATTAACTTTTATAGTTTTATAGTACCCCATGGCCCATATACAATATTTATCGGAATTAAAGATACATTATATATTTCTTTATTTGTTTGCCAAAAAATAATATGTATTTTGTAATATTTTTTAGGATAGCTGAAGACAACCGAGGTGCATCTCATTATATCAATATTAATAAATAAAAAAAAAATATATTTTAAAAAGAGGAAATAATACCATGTTTTTGTTAGCTCTGTATATTCTCTTGATGTTTATGATGACTATATCCATAGCAGCAATTCTCTACCTTGGGTACAAACATTTTTGAGGTCAACAATACACAACGTAGTATATATAGATAGTAAGTGTTTTTTTGTAAATTTTGTTTTAAATAAACTTGTTGATAACCATTATACATCAGATTTAAAATTTTAAAATATTGAATTTATCAAGTACCTACTTACCTACTTATTATTTTTATTGTAATACAATAATAACCATTATAATTTATAACAACTTTTTAATTATAAATGTAACCAAAAGGTCGTTGAAAATCTTAGTGACATTATAAAGGAGGGTCGCTGCCTCAAAAAGGCTGAGAACCGAGGGCGATGGACTAATATATACTACTAGTATCTATAGTATAGTACTATAGTAACTAAATCCTAAGGAATATTCAGATGAGTTTTTATTGTTCTTTGGGACTGTATGAAATGATCTCAATTTCTGAAAATGTGAAAGAAAATAGTTTGAACTTTAAAATTGTATTTAACTTATGATAAATGTGTTTACGTATTTTTTATTTGCTTTATTATTCGTTTAACATGGAAATGCAATTTTTTGTTATTAATTTTTGCATATGATTAGTTTTTTTATTACTCTATCTTATGTGCATCTAGTGTTAAAACCAATTTTGGAACCATATTTCAACAGAATTCAACATATCTATAGGTCCCTACCACATTTATTTATTTTCAATATATTTTAAAAACTTAAAAGTATATTTAGAAATTTTAATATATGCTTTTATTTAACCCGTTTCATACATTTTTAATTTTTTTACCTTAGATTTCTCGTAAATTTTCATTTCAGAATTAAAAAAAAAGTCATGATGTGTTACATTATTTTTTATGAAGTTTGAAATTTGAAATTTTTTTGAGAAACCGGGAATATTTACAATATGATTTTGATAAATAATGAAAGGTTCCTTACAAGTTTTCCTTACAGGAATTAAAATCTATAGAAAATAGTTATTTATAGTTACATTTTTTTAAATTAGCGTTTGAATGTTAAATTTTGACAAAAACCAGTCAAAATTACAAACTATTTTATAGTTAAAAAATCATTCAAAATTTTCATATAAGGTTTGAAAATTTAATACAAGGTTTCTCATAAGATCTCATTACAAGTGTTGAAAAAAAAAAAGCTTAGCGTTAAGCTACATGCCTACATTCATATTTTATACTTATTGGCTATTGGCTGTTTAAATGTCTACAACAGATCGTCTCCGTTCAGAATCGTTTTTCATCGTACACCAATTACCATCGATTATAAATACTACTAGGTATACTAGTATTTATAATCAACATTAGCGTACGCATGATTTTAGTTCGGTAATATACGACAATTATGGCAGACATTTAGCAACGTTCTAAATCAGTCAAATAAAACTGAAACTATGATTATCGACGTCTTTGTCATATTTAATGATTTATTTTATATCTATTAAAAATGACCAACAGACAACAATATTGATCAACTCCGTGTATTGAAATGGTGTTAAATAGTATTTTTTTGTAAAAGGAAGACATTTCAGAGGAGGTAAGAATCCTACCCCTGTGTAAGCCACTGATAATCAATGCTAGTACCTACCTATATGGCTTTATAAACAATGATTTATCATAATTGAATCCAAGTTTAACACATCCATAAATCATAATCCATTACAGTTATAACTCATAACTCACAAGTTATAACCTACTCAATGCCGAGGAGCACTTGACTTCTATACCGACCTACCATCAGTGGCGGCGGGATATACGATTATTTGAAGCAATGGCTTCAAGTCTGAAATGGGTGGGTGGGTGTATAAATATATATTATATACTCGTAAGACCTCAACACAAATATCATGGCAAATAATATTATAATTAATAATTATTATTGGCCTTTATTGCTAATTTGATTTAATGAAGGGTGAGGTGGTAAAATTTTTTAAAATATACAGTATGCTTCAAAGCCTCCACGATTTCGCGCCGCCACTGGTATAATATACTGACTCTACGTGTGGAGTGTGCGAATAACACCTGGCGCGTCTTCTAAGTACCACTCACGATTTTTAACAGTACCTATTAATGTTTATCTACGGCTGAAGCTCAAACTTACGGCTCGGGGTTTGCCACAGAGACGTCTACATGGTTGCACGTTTATTTCAGTGTGTATTCGGCTATTTCCATATCACGATGCAGAACAAATAACATTATCCGCAGGCATATAACACCGAGCTGTTTGCGAATAGGTAAATACTATAATATAATTCGTAACTATATAACTACTTTATAATACATACTTCTATATTTTTTTATACACTATATTACTATAATATACTTGTAAGTTGTAATAGCTAAAAAATATAATAATATTACATATTAATATATTATGTTAAGCTTGATGTAAAACACTATTCAAATATAAAAAGTCTCGCCAGCTGATTTTAGATGCGTGGGGATGTTTGGCTCAGATACACAGAGCCTGCCGTCCAGAAAACCCTTGGAATCAAAATTTTTCGAAGATTCCGGTTTCCGAACAACGCTGGTGACCTGCTGAAACTTTAGATTTGGCGTTGATCGCCACCCAATATCTGCAGCTGTCTCGCCAGCTAATTTTGGATGCATGGGGATGTTCGGCTCAGATACACAGAGCCTGCCGTCCAGAAAACCTTTGGAATCACAATTTTTCAACGGTTCCGGTTTCCGCAAATCGCCGGTGACCTGCTGAAACTTTAGATTTGGCGTTGATCGCCACCCAATATCTGCAGCTGTCTCGCCAGCTAATTTTGGATGTATGGAGATGTTTGGCTCGGATACACAGAACCTGCCGTCCAGAAAACCCTTGGCATCACAATTTTTCGACGGTTCCAGTCTTCGTATATCATTGGTACGGTTAAACTTCAGAAATGGCGTTGATCGCCATCCAATATCTGTCGATTTGGCTGAGGAATTTTCACACATCGCAGTCATGTTAGGCATAGATACACATCTATATGACATATTTATTTGATAATATTATATTGGCACAATTAACGGAGAAGATTATACAAAAATACGTAGGAATGAAATTTATCCGTAATGAACACAAGAAATGAATATTGACAAGTGGTAACTATGTGACACAGATATGAATTGTAGATTTTTGAAACATGGCAACGATATTTTTGTTGTTTGTGTAAATCTGAAAGTATCTAAATTTTTTAACATATTATGGGTACGATAATTATTTATTAAAATTTTGTTTTTTAGTTATACTGATCAGAAATACAAAACTAAAAGTTCTTGTATTGTTTGAATAAAATCTATGATTTGTAAATTTGGGAAATAATACTACATAATGACCAAAGAAAATTAGAATATACAAATCTAAATTTTCCGGTTCGTGCACGTTTTATTCGACGAAGTTATGGATTTCGATACAAATCAAATTTGGGTCACAACGGTGTTAAAATGTTTTTAGTACAACACAACTTACGGAGAACGACTGCCGCGCCGGCGCTACTGCAAAGCTCTTCGAATTGCGGAGGATATAAAATTCTGAGAATCACACGACATAGTGATTATTGTAAGAAACACGATTTATCGGTTTATGTACACTATATGTATACAATATTATATTATGCTATTGTTATCATTATATTATTTCTATTAATGCCACAGAAGATGGAAACGCGGCGAATATTAACAACGTACAGGTTATGTAGCGGCGACAGGAGGACATGATGACGAGATAATTGTTATTATTATTATTAACGACAATAAGGTCTAGAACTGGCCAGTCTATTTGAGTAAACCTGAATACATTTTAACCAACTTATTATAGTCGTACATTTTGTCATATACTGTGATATACGTCTACAAACATTATGCAACGTATTAAGTATAAACCATATATATATATGTGTGTGCAGCAGGGACTCAATATTATAATATACTATTATTATTTTAACCCTA